GTCAGGCATCTATTCTCAAGGCCCAATCACTAATAAAAACTTACTAGTTCTGCAGAAAGCCACCAATCTTCAATAAAAATTTCATTTCTTGCAGCCATTAAAGCTTCCGACACCGCATAGAAATAATCCTTTCCATCAACATACCATTTCGCATAAACATTTTCTTTAGGACTTGCAAACGAGCTGTAAGGATTCGTCTCCATTGTTGTTAGATTACCAAAGTTACGATAAAGATATCGAGTTTCAAGTCAACGGAAGTTCTCTTAGGAAGTATTTATTGACTATCGCATTCTGCTTTTTCTCTTTGTAATATTGTACATAAGCAACTAAATGTCTAATCTGGACTATTTTTTCCTTGTAACATTGCACATAAGCAACTAAATGTCTAATCTAGTCTGTTTAGGTACGCATAATACAAGATACGCGTGTTTTAAACCTCTTCAATGATGTCTGTAATAAATTAAGCATTTCATTGTGATGTCTATAAAGAATTATTAGTTTTTAGATTTCTTGTACTGTACGTACGTACGTACGTAACGTGCGATGTAGGAAATCTACAGTAAAAACCTTATATGAAATAAAGATAAGCCAAATTTAATAACGGCTTATTTTAAGTTTTAGTAGAATGCAAAAAATAGCTGTTATAAAGTACATGTTTACTTAGCCTATGATTTCTGCAAAAAGATGGAAATTTCCAGATCCTTCACTTTATTGAGAAGTCTATTATCAATTCTATCCATGGAACATTAGCACGATCTGGGCTACTAATAAGGATTTTTCTTGTCTCAAAAATTAGGGTTCATGTGAAATTGAATTGGCTCAAATATTCGTGTCATGATCTAGCTACCGCCATCCTTACTAAACCTACCTAAAACTTGAAACTGAATTTATTTTTTACATTATCGCTGTTTGATGATGTATCTTATTAGATAAAATTACAATCAATAAAAATCACCTATTGTTATTAGAGATGTGAGAATGCAGGTTTTTTTAACATTATTTCACGTGATGCATTATGCAACCCTGTATCTCTATACATAAGGAAAAGTCGGGCATTCTGGCGCGAGGTAATGTGGTGCACTGAAGTTTTTTAAAGTTTCTCGTAATACAATAACCAGAAACGAACGATTTTAACACCATTTAATTCGCCTTATCAAGACGAA